TGGGGGGTGCGCTGTAACTTTCAATGGTCCCTTCGAAACCAATCTGACAGATCTCCTTTATTAAAACCTCATGCAAAGTAATAATAAAGTTACAAGGTAACTTTGATGAAAAATAACAAGTAGTGTATTTAGGGTGTTACAGCTTACAATATGCTCCCCGTACATTACCACATTTGATCTTCAAATGTCAGAGAATTTAAGCAACTCCCTTGAGGTCTTAAGAGAGCTAATTAGAGGCCATGCCAAGACTCAAATACATGTTTTCTGACTCCAAATCCTTTACTCTTTCAGGTACGTAGTATTCATATAAACACAGGAAGAAAGAAAAAAAAAAAACCAACTAAGCAAAGAGTTTGGCTACCTAAAGGTCTGAAGAGCAGCACCACTTAAATAAATCAGAAATATGTGATTGAGCATATTTTCATTGTAACATACCTTTAAAGGCTTCTTCTAAAAATGTTTTTAATGTGCCTTGGAAGTGAAAAGGTTTTAATTCATAACTATATTTACTATACATCTGTAAATTCTTCTATATGCCTTCATTAATGTTTAAATCAAACACAAATTATTTTATCTTTAAAAGTGTTATAGTCATTTGGTTTAAGGGTTGGGATAAACATGGCTGGAGGCTCATTCCCTATTTCATTTGGGTAGATGAGAGAGAGGTATATCTTTTTTTTAAAATAGGTTCCATGCCCAGTGTGGAACCCAATGCGGAGCTTGAACTCAGGACCCTGAAATGAAGACCTGAGCCGGGATCAAGAGTCAGACGCTTAACTGACTCAGGCACCAAGGCACCCCGGAGGTGTATCTTTTTTAAAGGAGGTGTATCTTTGTGTCACTTTTCATTTTATAAAGATAGCATTAGATTCTTTTACTTTGGAAATAGACATCCAGCAGTTTGCAACTGGTAATGAATCATCATGCTTTCTTATACATTAGTCTTGAGAGATATATTTACTTTCTATTTTATCACCTATATGGCTGAGTACTGCACCTATATGAAAATAATACAGACGCTAACCTCAGATTCAAACGTTTTTTTACTATCACTGCTATAATAATTTATTGGCAATAAAGAGAGGTTGAGAAGCAAAATTAGAACTATGAAGGAATACTGGTATGATAGACTTAAATATTTAAAATTTTATAGTTACCTTCAGACAAATATCAAAAACATTTTTTGTAAGAAAAATAGTAGCTGTGAATATTTATTTTTACTGAAAGACTAAACATTTCTATCATTGAAGACAGGCTATCAGTATTATAGTTCCTTTCTGCATTTAAACTGCCCAGTGTATACATGAAATATTCACATCTTAGAGTCTGATATGACAGGATAACCACACTTACATTTACCAAGAAGTTACAATTTCCTAACCTTCTCCTGTTTATAATCAGGTTTTTACTGCATACTGTTCTGTATACCATTAAAAATATTTCGAGATATTTCTCAAATCTAGATGGTCAATGAAAAACGTTATGTCAAACAAACGCCTCTGATTCTGATGAAAAGGCATGCTACGAAATTTCTCTAATTTTTAAACATGCAGTCTCAGTGACTGCATGTTAGAAAGACAATGTTAAATAGAATATATCCCACAAACCATTAACTGTACATTTTAAAAACCACTAAAAAAGTGGCATTGACTGTTCACCACTTTGCTCTTTCTTAGCACTGTAAATCTTCCAGTAATCACACCCATTTCAGTTCGATTTATAAAAACACATATGTACATCTGAATACTTTCTCCTGTTTCAAGATACATTTACTGTAAATTGAGCCCAAACTACATTTTTCTGATAACATTACACTAAAAGAGAGACCACTTTCTTCAGTGTACAACTGAACTAAATTTAATATTTTTTTGTAAGTTGGTTATACTGATAAAAGTTCTTGGGTATTAGATATGCTTTAGTAATTGCAAATGTATATATTTCATGTATAATATACTCCATATTCCCAAAGAACAAAACAAATTTAACTACTACTAATGAACTTAACTGTCAAAAAAATAAAAACAAACCACATACCTTCTCCTTTTGTCCTGAATAAGCTGAAGTTCTATTAGGCCAAATATGGAGTAAAATGCAAACTGTACTAAAGTAAGGTACCAGCCATAGGACTTAAAACCCTCCATTGAAAATATTAATTCCTGTCAAAAGATACATGGATACTGTTAACTTCTGGGGCAGACCAATTTCCTCACAATAAATTCCTATAAACACAACATTTTAAAAAGAACCCAAGCCTCACCCCCAACAACAACAAATAAAAAGCAAAATAAACACCCAAATCACAAGGCTTCACAGAAGTCAAATTAGAGAAGTTCAGAAGGCCATTCCAAAGGACTCTAGACATTCAAGTGAGAAAAGCAAAGGGAGGGAGGGATAACTATGAAGCAATGTTATCCTAGGCTTTTCTTTTTTTATAAAAAAGACTGCCAAAATTAAGAACTGCCCCAACAATGAGCAAGATAGTTGGGTCAAGGACTCATTTACCGTATAACAAATATATTTCATTAGAAGTCTATTATCTCAGGCTTGTTTTTCTAGAGGAATTTAATCAGTTCAAACCAGTAATGTGATTTTTTGGAATATTTGTGCCACAGATTATATAAAATTTCTCCTTGTAAAGGAAATGGTTACTTTGTAGAAACATAATGTTATCTTATGAAGTAATATCTACATTAATTGTTAATAAGCCATTAACAAGTCAGGAAGAGGTATTCTAATACCTGGCTTAATTGATTAATCAATCCCCTCCCTCAACCATGGACTCTGAACTAGATTTAGTACATTTAGGATACTGTGTTAATTCCCCAAATTTAGGTTTCATATTCAAGTAAGTCTGAAAGATATTTAGTATTTTCCTGGCATATGAATTATAAAATACGAAAATAGCTTTATTAAGTGTGTTAGCATTCAGATAGATTTCACTACACTGTATCTATACAGCTAACGTCATTACAAAACCCCATTTTCTTTAAACTATTTTAATAGCTATTATATGTAAGAGTTAGTAGCAATGTCAGTTTTCACAAAGTGAAAGTAATGTTTATTAATTTTAAAAGCTTTGCATATGTTATAAATTAAAATCTCTGATGATTAATCCAACAGAAAAAGATAAATAAAATCTGTAAATTTCTAACTCATTTTCCTTTTTTGCAATGGCTAACTCTGCTCCCAAATTATTTAACAGTGGTGTTTTGAAAAAGAAAAAAAAAATGTTTCTCAACAAGAAACTGAAACCTGTATTTGATAAAATTTACTGTTTTCATCATTCTTCATTGTGATATTTGAGTTTCTCTATCATCCTCTAGTGGGGAAATTAGTTTTTATAAATATTAAGATTTTTAATTCATGTTTTTGTTTTACACTAATACTCCTCATAGCATTTTTACAAGCTAAGGAATAGCCAATTCTACCATTTTCTTCACTTATACTTCCTTTTATATTTCATCTCTATAGGACAATGGGAAAGACTACAATAATTTTTAAGATCATTCTAATTGATTAATACTAAACAATACCAGAAATATTAACTGTTTCAACAAAACACATCCATTTCCATTTCTTGAATTATAAAAGGTTTTCTCACATTAGAAAGCTGCATAAAAAAGGAAAGTTGGTAATGGCTGAAAATACTAAGGAACTGACAATTAAGAATAGTAGTCCCCATTCAAACACTGTTTACACTAGCCTGGCTCCTCACCCATCAAGCCCATGTCCCCAGAAGGTCAGGAATCTGCTGCTAGTCAAAGGTAATACAACAATCCCAGAACATAATACAAACACAAGGCAATTTGTGGCAATGTCAGAAATGTTTTGCACCAGCAAAAATCACAGAAAAATAAGGTTCTGACAAAATTAGATTTGAAGAGGAAGCCAAAAAGAATGAGAACACAACAGATGCTTCATAAAAAGAACAATTCAGATAGTACAGGATTAAAGAGAAACTCCTGGAAAAACTATAAAGCATCCTCATATACTTTGCAAAAATGACCTTTTATTATTGAGCTCCAAGAATCAACAATGGACTAGATTATGGCCTTTGCATTATCATTCAATTTTATTGGAGAATTATGTTCCAAAATACCACTGAATATTTGAATCACTCTCTTTTAGAAAACACCTGGGTGCAATTACTTTAACATATTTCAAATTTTTTCATAATTTTAATTTTTTAAGTTTGTCTTGCTCCCTTCCCCCCATCTGAAATATTTAACTGTGAAATTTTGATCCCTGCTAAAAGTAGCAGACTAACTTTTAAGAACCCTTTTCTATATTAAAAAACTCAAAAATGTGAATAAAGTGGTATCCTATAAAGAAAAATATCTTGGACAAAACTATTAGAAATGCCCATATTGACCTCAACTGTTATAATTAGCATCTTGTAAATAAGTAACTATTTTTTACCTGTAAATATCCATAAATTAGGTAAAATACAAAAACTCCAGCAACACATATGAAAAACTGAGTAAGTTTGTTAAATCTGCTGAGATTTATGCCAAGTACTACGATGTCATCTATTGACTTAATGTGTGGTGACATTGTCTGCGTTTTGGGAGGGACAGTGATAGATATATATTTCCTGGAGTGGTTGCATTTGAGATCCATTGTTCTTGTTTTGCTGCATTCAGTGCTTCTAAAATTATCTTTGTTGGTTTCCTCTCCCTTGTTCAGTGTTTCTTTTGCTTGCTGAGGCAAGTCCTAAAGAAGGAAATAAGCAATTAAAGCAAAAACATTTGGATCATAAGATACAATGCTCCAAATATTTCACATCACACTTTAAAAATTATACAGGTAAATCTCATTCTCTCTGGGTATTAATATATTAATTCCTCTATACAAGCTTCCAAGCAACCAGAAACAATGTCTACTCTCCAATTTATCTTCTTCTGATAAAGACCATACATTGCTAAATTTTCTTTTTTTAACTTAGTGTTTATTTCATCAAAGAAGAAAATATGCTTTTATTATGGTTTTGTATGTATTAAGGAAATAATTTGTAAAGCCCACGATAGTTTATGAGTGACATCTTAACATTAAAGTTAGTCTTTGATTGCAGAAAAGAGCTGATGCTCCTTTAAGTACTAAGTCAACTGTAAAATGTATTTGTTAATGATGTTTTAAAAGTAAACTCAAACAACTTTACGTTATTTAAAAAAGCTAGATTTATCAGAGACAACAGAAAGGATAATATGCCTTAGCAAGAGCATTTCTTAGGTTAGGTTAAAAGAAAATGTTTTCTTCCTTTGGAGAAAATCATTTTAATTTAAAAAGTCTTTGGGGAGTTGTCATTCAATGAATATTAAGTTACAGTTATATAAGATGAGTAAGTTCTAGAGATCTGCTATAGGACATAGTGCCTACAGTTAACAACACAGTGGTGTGCACTTAAAAATCTGTTAAGAGGGTAGATGCCATGGTAAACATTCTTCACCACCCATACATACACACAAAGGGGCAAACATGGAAGCTTCTGGAGGTGACAAATGTGTATTACCTCAATCGTTATGCTGATGGTATTACAGGTATATGCATGTGTCCAGACTCATTAAATTGTGTATGTTAAACGTGCAGTTTTTTTTGTGTGTAACAATTATACCTCAACATAGCTGTTTTATAAAAAAGAAATAAAGATGCTTCTGGGACTATAAAAAGTTGGAAAACATAATTTTTTGTTAGTCTGTGAAAAAAAATCATGAGGGCTCTATAGATGACTGTCAATTTCCCTTTGGATTTATATAAACCAAAGAATGAGTTCCATGTAGAGGTTGAAGAGAGAGTGAAGAATTATGACAATTAAAGAACAACCTGATGATGAAAAAATTATCTTCCTAGAAAAAACTCACTGTCACAATCCAATGGGAACTAAAATTTAGAATAGCTGAGGAAAGAGGATAGATAAGGATAACTCTGACAGATTTGGAAATCTCTTTAAAAGAAACTGTCATGATGGTTTAAAATGGCAAGAATTAGAGTCACTTCTTCATGATCACTTCTCTTTTGCTAATTACAGAGATAGGAGGTCATCTTCAGTAATTTAAATTGGGATCAAGGTTTGGAATACAACTTGTAACTAACAATACTCAGGCATCAAATAACTTTTACAGGGAACCTGCCAAATTTCTAAATAGAAAAAGCATAATTTTGAAAAGTTTTACTGTATTTCTCTTCCTTTACCTGTTTCTTCTTCTTTATATATTGTTCTTCCTTCCCACACTGTTTCAATCAGTCATCTCTGAGGTAAGACTTTTTAAGTCATCTTGCAGGATACCCTTGAGATTTGACTTTCTTTATAAACCATGCTTTAAATGATCTTGAATGTAGAAGAAACAAAAACCTGAGTAACTACTTTCCATGTGTGTCGGCATGGATACAGAGTACCATTCAAATATATCTGGCCCCACGTAAGCTTCTCCTCCCTCCACCTCTTTTAATCAAGCCCTGAACTGCCCACAAGGAACTATTATTTCATTCCTGAAATATACCATGGACTTTCAAACACCTTTGCCTTATGTTCATGATGTCCTTTCAGCCCAATGTCTTTTTTCTCTAGGTCAGGATTTGAAATAAGCTTTAGTGTTCCTTCCTTTGGGATACCCTCCCTAATTCCCTCAGTTGGGAGAGAGAGAACAGAACTGGAAAGGCAAGACTCAAATCTTGTCTCTGCATCCTTGATATCTGGCATACTCTGCACCCAAATACTCAGATGAACCAAATAAACGGGCCCTTCCCCTGGATGCCCTCAAAACCCCATCTTGCAATCACTTACTGTCTACCTGAACACAATTTTTCAAATGTGCTGTGGTGTTGGCAAACTTTGTGAGCAAAACTAAAAATGTATAGAAAACAGAGGTTAGGGGAAATGTGCAAATAATGTTTATATATTTACACAGAGAGAATAAATAAAACTTCTAGAAGACCTCTCTCCTGCTTTTATTAGTATCAAAAATTTCTCCCCCACCCACCTTCTGCTGGAGGTGTTTGTAACTTAGCAAAATGGCTGGCATACTGTACCGAATCAATAAAATTATAGCTACCATTATGAGAAGCCTTTCCCCAGGCTTTGGATTTTGACAGATCTGAGTTCAAGATCCAGCTTTCATACTGATTAGCTGAAAAGCCTTGAGCAAATTACTTAATCTTTCTGAACTTTAGGTTGTACACCTTTAAAAGGGGGGTAAACAAAATCTGCCTGTGGTAGAATTTTTGTTAGGACTAAATGAAATAAATGTAAAAGTGCCTAGCATATAGTAAAACAGATCACAAATGTTGGCTGTCATTCAACTCTTTAAAACTACTGCTAGTATGATACGGTCTGCTCACCCTTCTGATGTGCAGCTAGAAATATGAATCTGGATTTCCAACCCAGACTTCTCTTCTGGAATCCAGATCTCTATTTCCAAATGCTTTTTTGAAAGCATTTCTACTCATGAGTTCCACTGGTACCTCATTTTAAGCGTCCAGAGCTGAACTCATTATGTTCCCCTCCAAACAAACCTGCTCTTCCTATATTCCCAATCTCACTTACTGGTATGAAGCAAAAAATCTGGTATTTATTAGACTCTTTCCTTTTCCTCACATTCCATATTTTGCCAAGGTTCCTGTTGACTCTACATCCATAAATGCACCAAGAATCTGTTTCTGACCCTACCATTAGCAGCTGTTTTCTCTTGCCTAGATTACTAGATTAGCCTGTTTAATAATCTCTTCTTCCCTTTCTGATCCCTCTTTCACACTACTCAATATGAATGCTCATTATGCTGCACCTCTGATTAGGGTCCTATAAATTACAAGCTGGTTGATTCTCTGGACTCTCATAGCACTTTATATTTTTACAAATACCTAAATCATAACGGCCTAACTTTTTGTTCTTGTGTCTCCTTCTCTCACAAGCTTATGATACCCTTTAAGGGAAGAGACAATACCATCTTCATTATATTTTCGCACATAGCAAAAGTGGACTTTTCCTTAAAATGAAGGACTCCATTGTACTTTAGTAAGCACCATTTAGTCAATAGAATCTGCTCCTTTCCGACAATTTGCTGCTTTTAACACACCTATTGGCAATCTTAGGAGCCGCAGATCTGTGCCAGACAAGTAGAGTTAAATCCCTCCAGCACTGTCACTTCTTGGACATCTGTGCCAAAATATTGACATCTCCACTGAAATTTCCCACAAAGCATCTGAAATGAACATGGAAATAAATTCACTTCCTTTGCTTACTTGAGGTACAGCACCCAAAAATCTGCCCTCAAAGCCTTGCATTTAGAATGCACTTTTATTAATCATAACATCACTGGTCAGATCATGTGACTCATGAAGGTACTGTAAACTCTGATACCCAGTAACTGTGATCCTTAATGTTTGCCATACGCCTTCCATTTCAGACATTAATGATGGATATTAATCATCATCTGAAGAAACTAGGTCAATGTCCTTTTGGTGCAGGAAAAATAAAATCAAGCATAAAAACTGTTTTGAAATTAAATGATCAACATTTTGCTTTGCTTTAGAAATTCACAGTAACCCTTGAAACTAAGAACAAAAAACCCACAGGTGTGAATAACTGCCTAAGGCCTCTTCCTGAAGTCAACACAGATATGTGATATTACTTGGGGGTACAAAAAACTGTTAAAGCGGAATAAAAAGGTAGCATTTCTTGAGCATACTGATATTTAAAAATTACAAATAACTGGTGATAACACTGATTTACAATGACCTACTTAAGTCAAAATTATTTCAGTTAATGTCTTAATCTAGTTTTTTCCAACCCTTAGAAGAAACGTCTCCCATAGAAAAGGGTAGAATATGAGGAAATTATGTCATTACAATGTAAATAATCAGTACAAACTTGATTCTGGTTTTGTCACACTCAATGTGACAAATAAAATAATCTTGCCACTATATATAAATTAAGTGGACTCTAAGTGACCTCTGGGTTATGATTATAAAACCAAAAAAAATATTCTGTCTCATTTCTTTGTACACACTTCATTACACAAAGTTCAAGAAACAGTGCGCTAATTTTTGATGGTTACTCTATTTTTTCCAAGGGATAAATCTAAATTTAGGATTTGATATATATTTAGAAATTAAGTACAAATAACACTTATCTAAATTATTCTCAAATGCTGCTGTATCTCTCTCTTCCACGTCCCAAACTATCCCAATTCACTCAGGAAAGCGTTAATCCAAAAACCAATTCTCAACATCTGAGGTCCTACCATAGAAGAAACGCATAAACCCAACGCTAAAAAACTCTCCGTTAGCACACCAAAGCATTCCACCTTCTTTCAGTAATTCTTTAAAAGAGAAATAAGGTGGAGAAAATTAAGCTGCAAAGACTGGAGAATCTGCATAACTTCTAGTGGAAGTTTATCACATAAATTTAATAACCTGGCAAGAACAATCACTTTGCACTACAAATTAAATGGACAGCAGAGTACCCTAAGTACCCTAACACAGAACCCGGAAATAGCTCTTAACTAAGACGCAGTCTTGGGAAGCCAGGCGACTGACAGTTCTCCGGAGGCCCCTTACCATAAGCCTAAAAGGCCCTCCTGGAAGTGGCCTCATGTCTCAGAGTCCACAGACGGGGACGTGAGGGAGTTCTAGCCAGCCGCAGGGCGGAAAGGGGGCGAGGGGGAGCAGATACTCCTCCCTAGAAACCGTGCCAGCAGGTTTCCGTTCTTGAAACAAGGAAGTCACCCGTGCCCTCCATCCCGACCCTGCACGCTCGTTATGGATGAAAATATTAACTGTCAAGATTCTCCGGGGAGAGGGAGGTCTGGGTCCCAAGCACGGCGAAGGGCCGGGGGGACACGTCCACTTCAGAGCCGGTATGCCACCTGAAGGGGTGACCCCAGCCCGAGTGGCGCCAGCCAGACAGAGCGTCTCCCCCTCCCCAGGTCCGTCGCCATCACCTCCTTCTTCTCCTCTCCGCCTACTCCTGCACTTTCCACAGCGGTCGCCGCTTCCTCGCAAGGTGCTCGCATCGCCGGCGCCCGCGCGCCACTTCCGCCTACGTGTCTCCGCGCGCGGGCGCAGTTGCGCGGTCCCGCCCCCTCGCCGGCCCGGGGCCGCTAGGCAGCGAGGGCGCGGTTACCTCTCGCGCATGCTCTCTCCTCTCCCGAACGCTGGAAGAGCGCAAAGTGAGCTTGGCGGTGCGAGGGCTGCCCTTCTGCACCCACTACAAATGGCGTAGGAGTGGCGAGCGCCCACCCGGTCGAGAGTTTTCACCCACCGATCCATGTTCGCTTGTTGCTGGTATCCGGGCCTCTGCAACCTCCAGGGTTGCTGTGGCCTGGTACTCCCCGGGCCCCTGCACCCCTGGGGCCCCCACGCAGGAGACCACTTACACTGCAATGGCCCTGCGCTGAAATTTGAGAAGGAAGCCTAGTGGAGAATGTTGAACCTGGATTTAGGAAACCCTAGGGTTCCCTCTTCCCTCTTCTTGATCCAAATGAGTTGGGCATAGTCACCCTACCTGTCTCCGGTTTTATGCTTCTGACTGACTTGTGCCTGCTTTCTGGTGAAGGTGGACTGAAGGCGCACTTGGGTTGCTTCTGACGTTATAATTCACCTTGTAGCTCAGCAATCCCAAGCCTTGCAACGTGACACGAATGTTGCCCGCATTGTTTTGACAGTGCTACTTACTGCTCAGAATGTAAATCCCATAGCTCTACCAGCTATCAAAACTAAACACTTAATCCTGCATTTAGGGCTGCATCTACACTCGCTGAGATGTATTGACATAAACACCAAGATGGGATAGCTGCGATATTTTTAGGTAACTATAAAATGACATGTAAGGCAAAGATTTCTGTATGGAAGCCGGGACATTTTTGAGTGCATGTTTTAGATAACCCAGAAAGGGATGAACTGGATTAATATAGATGTTAGAATCCAGTAAGTTATGTATAGCTTTTAAAATTTCACAGGCATTGTGCAGAAAGGGCAGCACTTGTATTTTGTATTGGGTGTGAGGGTTTATATAAAAGAGTAGCACTTAACGCCTATTAATAGTGGTGAGTCTGGCTAGGCTTTTTTATTTAATCCTTACCAACCTTGTACAAGGTCAGTGTTACCAGCATTTTAATTAAGACTTAAGAGAATTTTAATTTCCTAAAGAAACAGTAAATGACAAAGCCTTTAATGATGCCATGCTGTTACCTGAATAACGTGGATTTAAAAGCATTTAGGCAACATTAATTGAGCACCTATCAAATGGGCATACGCATGGGTCATATACGTAATCCATAAATTACAAGTATGGGCTCCTTGCCCTCAAGGAATTAGGGATACACAAGTAAAGGTAAATGTCAATATAAAACAATTTACTATACAAGAGGTGTCATAAGGAACCATCTACTCTTGCCTGGACAGTTACGGTAGGCTTTGTCTTCTTCTTCTTCTTCTTTTTTATTACGGAGCTATATTCCATAATGTAAATGTGCCACAGTTTGGCTTCTGACACGTCTTTCTATCTCCCCTTTATTTCTCTGCTTCCAATTTCTATTCAGCAGCCAGAATGATCCTTTTAGAGCTTGTGACAGAATATACCATTCCTCTGCTCAGAATGCTTTTAATGGCTTACTGTTTTACTCTGATTAAAGTTCAAAACCCTTGCCATGGCTTCTAAGTAAGAACTTGATCTGAAAGGCTACAGCTTCTTTTTTTTTAAGATTTTATTTATTTATTTGACAGAGACACAGTGAGAGAGGGAACACAAGCAAGGGGAGTGGGAGAGGGAGAAGCAGGCTTCCCATGGAGCAGGGAGCCCAATGCAGGGCTTGATCCCAAGACCCTGGGATCATGACCTGAGCCAAAGGCAGATGCTTAACGACTGAGCCACCCAGGTGCCCCAAAGGCTACGGCTTTCTATGGCTACTCTTCAGAGCCCATCTACCCCTCTCCAAGAACACCAAGTGCTAGTGCTCTGGACTTACCGTTCCATCTGCACAGACCATTACTCTCTCAGATATCCACAGGATGTGCTTCTTAACTTACTTCAGGTCACTGCTCAAATGTAACCTGGTCAGGCAGTTTTTTCCTGACTCTCCTATCTAGGAGCGCCAACCCCTCTACACCCAGACACCGTCCTTACCCTGCATTTCTTGTCTTCATAACAGTTATGATAGATTCCCATATGTTATTTGTGCCTCCCCACCTATTTTTCCCTACTTGAACGTTTGTTTTATGAGGCCAGAGATTTTTGTCTCGTTCACAACTGTAGTGCCATCATCTAGAACAGAGTGCTTGGTACACAGTCTGCACTCAGTAAATATTTGGTAAATGAATGACTAAGATGAACTGCCAAATGAGTGTTAGGACAGTAGCATGGGAATCTGGAAAAAGTAAAATATTGGCTGGCATGGTTTATGAAAGCTTCCTCTAAAAGGCAGAACCTAGATTATGATGAGGATTCCATTGGTTTTGGAATGGGGGAAAGAGGGGAGGAAGGGCAGTCCCAAGCAGAGTCATCCAAAATAAACGGAGACATTAGACAAGGCAGTAATCAGGGCTACAGTAATGCTAATATGCTGATCTCCAAAAACAAAACTACAGGAAAACTCCTAATAGCTCATCTGTGAAAATTCAGCCTTGCCTCACAGAGGGCTAACTTACCATGTCCCCCTTTCCTAGCAAATCCCACTCTTCCTACATTGTATCTTTTAGCTGTTACTAATTCAGACTGACTGGCAAATATATTTAGAGAATAGTTGGAATTTGTTTTAAACTATGAAAAAGAAAATACTGAAAATAACACAGAATTTAATGTGTAAATAAGCGGGAAGTTACACACATAAAGATTTCTCATGTGTCTGAAACACAAATAAAATAATAAAACATTAAAAAATCAGCTGTAAATAGGAAAGGATCTTTAGGAATTCAGAGTAACTTTTATATTAATTCAAATAAGCAATACTTTAACCTAATATTATAAATATTTTTTAATGTAAAGGTCAATATTATAGGCTAAATTGTTTTCACCCAAAATTCATATGTTGACATCTTAGCAGCTAGTACCTCAAGGGTATGATTGTACTTGGAGACAGGATCTTTCAAGAGGCAACTAAGGTAGAATGAGGTGATGAGGGTGGGCCCTAATCCAATCTGATGAGCATCCTCAAAAAAAAAAAAAAAGGGAATTGGGAAATGTCTGCATCCAAGGGGCTATGAAAGCAGCTGGAAATGTCTGAGCTTTTTTTCCAGGACAAGCTGGGGTTTGCACATCATCTACCTGGATGTCTCTCTAGGGAATTATTTAAACACACTCAAACAAAGAACAGTAATCATTTAACAGAAAGCAGAAAAGAGGAGAAAAAGGTGAGGTGTAGCAGTTGTCAAAAAAAAAAAAAAGAAAAAAGAGGGAATTTGGAGACAGACATGTACAGGAGGAAGGCCACGTGGAGACAGTCAGGGAGAGGGGGCTCAGAAGACACCAGCCCTACCAACACTTTGATCTCGGACTTCCAGTCTCCAGAACTGTGAGAAAATAAATTTCTGTGGCTTAAGCCACCAGTCTGTGGGATTTTGTTATGACAACCCTAGCAAAGTGATACAATCAGTGCCATATTTTTACGTGTCAAATGTGAGGTATATGATGGACTGAGTAGTACTTATTACAGAGTAGGGGTTTATAGATACTGACTCCATTACATCACGGTGAGACCCCAGTGGAGACTAAAGATGTGCAGCTATGAACTGATTATCAACTCCTAAGAAATTCATAGTCCTGTTGCATCAAAAGCCTACAGGGTCCTGACTCATATTCTGAGCATTGCCTCCGATTTCAGACTTGGTTGTGGGGACAGTTTCATGCAAACTTGTCACCTTTCCCTGACATCTTCCTTTCTCTACCATTCTATGCTTTCTACCCTGAGACTCCTCTGACTTTGCTGACTCTGATGGCAACAGTAGCTCACACCTTGCACACCTTTGAAGTGATGGTCAGTTAACAGTCCGGGGTCAGCCTTTAACCAACAGGTGACAGTATCCGATGGACAAAGCCTCTTGCCTCTTACCTTTTAGTGAGGCAGTTCTGTAGAGCCACTCTGTGTGCTTCTCAAGAGGTCCTGGGGAAATTGAGTTGTCCGCTGCAGCAATTTCAAAACTGCCTTCTTGTATCATCTTGTATAACTTTCTCTTCATCCCCTCACCGCTTCTCAGTAGGATCACCTTCCAAATGACCTGGCCACACACAAATACCTGTCTTAGGTTATGCTTTTGAGGGAAATCAACCTAAGAAATTGGTGTAGGAAGAAAGCGTCAAATGCAGCCCCTCAAGTGTCTGGGTCATTCACTAGTCAGATGTCAAGAGGAATACCTCCTGGTGCACTGGGATATCACAATCACTAAAGCTCTTCTTACGTGCTGGATAGAAGATGAAGATGAAACTTGTCTGCATGGTAGCTCTAGCACTTGAATGGGAAGAAACAAGGGCACTTAGAAGGATGGCAGAATTTGCTGTTTTGCTTTTGTTTTTTTTTTTTTGTTTTTTTTTAACTTTCATGGTCAGCCAGCTATTGCCTCAGGGCTCATCATGAGAGGTAGGAAATCTTCACATCAGCATCTAAAGAGATCCTCATCTCTTGCAGCCACAGGACAGAGTGCTAAAACTCCCATTCAAGATTTAGTTATACGGGTGGTGAGCTGATTGGTAATAGAATGTACCCTTGGCGGATCTCTGATGCTAGAGTCAGGGCCTTGATAGGGGAGGAGAAGGACTTAGGAAGGGGGGAAATTGTGTTGATGATCTGAGGAACCTTACACCTCGAAATTCCCTTGGGCCCTTTGGGCTTGTAGAAATACCCCATCCCCCTTTGTGCAGGGAGACCCACTCTTACTCCCACCTGAAGAATGAAAAGACCTCATCAGAGACAGGTACCTGACAAGGTCATGCTTGTCCT